GGGTCACACTGTAACCCTACAGCCCAGAGATCGCTGGTCCAGTCTGGGCCGGGTCACACTGTAACCCCACAGTCACACAGAAGACATGAACACATACGCACAGTGTAGTAACAGGGAATAAAAAAGACAGAAATTAAACAGTTTCCCTTTTTAAAAGGAGATTTTAAAATGACAGGAGCAGACATTGGTCAGGGCCCAGACAAGGCACTGCTGAGTGTAACATATTTATTAGACATTAACCAGGCTCAGACAGGTTGCATGAATTGCAGCTCAAAACAATATTATATTTTCTCCGATTCCTCTAACCTACTTTGCGAGAAAGCCAAAGCCAGAATACACATTTAGGGAATGCTCTGGCCGAGGGACTCAACCTGCTGGAGTTAAAATTCCTGTGTGAGGAGAAGAAATGGCACATACAACGTAATAGCCACAGCTGACACAATTTGCCATTTACAAAAAAAAAAGTTTAGTTTTCTGAAACCATTTAAGAAAAAATATTTTTTCCTCCCGGAAAGGAAACCCATTTACAAAACTTTACCAACAATTGTCGGTCATTTCTAAAATTTCCATCTTAAGTGAAAATAATTGCAGCTACTGCATTTGACCACAGAGTGGCGCTGCCACTTGTTAAGTGAAGCAGCACCTTCTCTTTCAAAGCGCAGTTACATTGTCTCAACACCAGGGAGCGATGTTTGCTCCCTTATAAGTTTAGGATCCATTGGGCTTCAGCGACCATATGCCAACGCTTTGTGGAGCTGCTGGTCGTTGAATAAAACAGAATTGTGTTTTGGCACTCAATTCGCTGAATAAACCACTCTGAGTGGTTGTGACTAAATACTCTGCAGTTTAATGCATATTCAAACAATTTCAAGGTAAGGATCCCATTGAGATAACAGTCTAGCTTTAACAGGACACTTCCTGTTACAAACAGGCACAGGTGCAGTTTCCCGAGCAGCTCCAATCCTAAACCAGAGAGCTCCACCCCGTCTCTACCTTGTGCACTGCAGGGCGCTGTATTCAGTGTCCCAGTGCAGCCGTCCAGCCAAGCCACGGGAATTCAGTCTGGACACGGCTGGGAGCATGTCACAAGCCCTGGTTTAAAACTGGAAGAGCCTTAACTCTTACAGATTGCTATCTTGAACCCGGGTCTGACCCCCATGGTATCTGTGCCATACTTGGCCATTGAAGCCCTCTCACCAAGGCACCCTGATTTGGGGGGTCGATTAGCTTATTGAGCAGAATGGGGTCCCCCCCCCCCCGGTCTCCAGTCCTCCGATTTCCTTGCGTCTTTCCTCAGAGTAACGACTGCAGTTACACGGTTTGTCCAGCAGGCGGGGCTTTCTGAAAAGAGTCCGAAGCCCCGCTTCAGTGGAGAACCCCTCAGCTCCCAGCTTGTCTGTTCTTGTTGGGGTGGTCTTGCCGATGAACACTGACACAGGAGAGGCCTCGGAGGGCGAGATCTGTACAGTCTTCAAACAGAACAGGGGGACGAGCCAGGACTGCGCACTGTGATGCTCTTGGCTCACAGGCTCCAGCACAGGCTGAAGGCTGTGGGAGTTCATGGGTAGTCTGTGCCAGGGGCAGCACAGGACTGTAAGAGCAAGACAGGCTAGATAGTAACAAACAGCAGAAAAGGGTCATGACCTGAACAAATGACCTCAGAAAACCACTGTTACAGTGAATTACCTCCAGGGGGTGCTGTATACCAATTCAAACACCCTCTATGCTTCTGAGCGCGATGATACAATGCTGGGAACAATGCCTCATTCTCAGCCATGTTTGTCTTTGTTCAGATGTTGCAAGGTTTCACATTTCTCTGTGTTTAATGAAGGAAAGAGAGATGTCCACCAGGTGGGGCGGTCTCCACAGCCAGGACCCCTCCTAGACTTCGGAAACCTGACACAGGGAGGGCTGCTGGGAGGACAGACGCAGGTCTGTGTCCCGTGGGGAATGAACAAGGAAAGGAAGAACAGGATGAAGCAGCAGAGAGAGACAAGAGGGACACACGAGTTCTGGAAAGATAAACCTTAAAAAAAAATCCCAGAGCTGGATATCGCAACAGTCTCAGTCCAGGAGTGGGCTGGCCCAGAGTGTGGGGGTCTCCAGGGATTGCGGGGGGTGGGAATGCGTCTGTGTGGGGGGATGGGACAGGGCTGAGACTTGGGGGTCCCCCCTCACCCCTCTGGCCACCCCTGCTCACACGCCGTTTCTCTCTCCCAGCAGCCAGAAGGTCCTCATCTTCCCTTTCCCCTTCATCTCCACGTCTCCGCGCAGCTCCAGCTCGAACCCGAGGAACTCCTCCAGCACGCTGCGCGTCGCCGCCGACACGTGGATCTTCAGCGCTGGAGCGAGAGCCGGCAGGGACTGAGCACACGTCTCGACCCCACACCACTGTCTTCAACTGCGCTGTCTGACGGTCTCCCTGGGCTGCACTGCACTGTACTGTGCTTTTACCCTGATCTCACTGGGCTGTACTGCACTGTACTGTGCTTTTACCCTGA